AGAGAGAGAGAGAGAGAGAGAGAGAGAGAGTCACCACGTCAGTTGTTGTTGTTTTTTTTTTTCTTTCGTAGGATTTACGTTTTTGATTTTATTTTATTTTCGTGCTGTGTCATCCCTGAAATGCCGCAGCCCCGCCTTGTTGGGCCGACCGGGCTGCCACTCGGGCGACCCCCGCTTCCTCAGGCGCAGTAATGGGGATGCCCCGTGGCCCATGTATGGGCCAAGTACTGGTGGTTTACGTGGGTCTCAGCATTGGAGGCTCCATCTATTGATGGGGAGCTACACCTGCTGGAAATCGGGTCCAGCCTCCCTGTACATGGTGTGTGTCTGCTGGAAATCGGGTCCAGAGTCCCTGTACAATGATGCGTGATGATGTTGTACTGTGTATCAATTACTGTGTGAGTGTCATTGTAAAATCTGAATATTCGTATATGTCATACGGAGCTCAAGCCCCTTTCCACCACGTCTGCCATGTCCCCCTATGGAGCAGGAGGCATTGACTACTTCCCAAATGGAGGGAAGGATTGACCTCCTGCCCAACACAACGAAGAGCATTTCCATCCAGCACCCCAGAAAACAACCCAAATCAATCCACGAAACCCTTTCCCAAGAAGGAAAAAAAAAAGGGAAAAAAAAATAAAAAAAAATTATACTCTACTGCTCTGCCCTCTGCTTTCCAAAACTTTTCCTGTAAACTCCCTTATAACTCTGTTCTACTCGTCAGTCCGACCGATCACTCACAAACCCCTGCCGTGGATAAGTGTGAGAACACTGAAAAGCCAGAAAGAGCTACCATCTTCACCCGAATAGAACGCCCGGTCATTATAGCTGTATTTGGAACAACTTCCAGCCCAGATACGGCGATAATTACCTGGCGTTCTATTCGGGGGAAGACGGTAGGAGGACTGGTACTGATCACATCACCCTTCTCCCTGTTTCCCTTTTTTTTTCCCCTTAAGTACCTGTAGTTGTATCCAGCTCCCCCCTTTTTTTCTTAAAAAAAAAAAAAAAAAAAAAAAAAAAAAAAAAAAAAAAACACGATCGGCTGCTAGGGGTTCTGATAAGAGCAGACACCGCTAGCGCCATAGGGGAGGCTCCATCTATTGGTGGGGAGCATCACCTGCTGGAAATCGGGTCCAGCGTCCCTGTAGAATACAATGTAAGAAATGAAACACGAAACTGATCTATTATCGACTTCATCGACAACAGTAACAATGGTATTCTCCACTGCGGTTGTGTCATCGGTTGGAAATGAGCGGGTCACGTGGTCCCCTATGTGGTTACTGATGGGGGTAGGTCAGGAGACGGAATCGTTGATCCCGTGGGTGGCATTTTGTCTCTTCATTCGTAAAGTGTGGGTGGTGTTTTGAAAGTGCTTGGGATAACTTGCCCTGTGTTTCCAATTGGCTATAGACTGTGGAATGGATTTGCCTTGCTGGAGGTTATCTGATTCGATCTGATTGCCTGGTCTCGATTGATCTCATTGACCTCATAGATATGGATCTATTACGAATGAGTGATTTCACCGTGTTACTGTGGACCAGGGAACCTACCCGCTTGCGGGAACTGTGACTCTCACACAACTTGTATGCTGAATTCTTCCTTTCTTGATTTGCTTCAAGTTCATCTCAAGGATCGTGTTAACTGTTGGGCATTGCCACTTAGGGTTTTGACTGAGACCCAGGATGTGCTTGACTTACTTTCGCCCTGCTATAATCCACCCCCCCGTGTTTTTTATTTGTAGGGTTTGATCATTGGCGGTTTGCTATAGTAAGGAAGAAGCAATCAATGCTC